GCGCTTGCCGAGGGCTCGGCTTGGGGCGGACCGGCAGGAGCGGGAGGCGGAGGCGGTGAAGGCCGGAAATCTTCCGGGAGCTTCTCTCGCTCCCAGCACGAGCAAAGCGAGGCTTGCGCACCGCCCATGGTTCAGCTGGACGCCGTGTCGTATCAATTGTACATGTCGCCAATTGGAAATGTAGTAAAACAACTGCCCAAGGCATGGTGCATTGTCGCGGTGCGCTCGTTTCGCAAGTCCCTCCTTTAGTATGCTGCAGCTATACTATCTTTACCCCCGAGATTGACAGGAGATGAAACGCTAGAGAAACGCTTGAGACAAACGCTGTGGAAAGCAATGGTCAAAACCTGCAATCACATCGATAGCATGCGGTCCGATACACCATGCAACCTTACGGCTTGGATGTCAAAAGCTGGGAGAAGCATTAACACGACGCAACATGTACATGTGCATCGCCACTGCGACATGCGATCGACATGACCCTGGAATACCCTGGCACATGGTTCACGTGCTTACAAGCATTGCTGCATCAAGAACATCCAGGTAAGAGTCTTAATGCAATTCTACCCGTTCTGGAAAGGCTACTGCTTCTCCATCACAATAATAGTTCCGATGCGTTCCGTCGCTGATCGTATGCGTGTTGGGCTCGGCTCTTGATCCTCCCCGGCCGCAACAGAATGAAATCAAATTGGCTCCTGCAACGCTGCAAGCTGGCCGGGTGGCTGTCTGGTAAGGCACAAGCCTGAGGTCAACTTCCGTTCAGAAACCTTCGGTAGGGGCTTGCAAGAGAATTGGAAAATTTCACTTCTTCTGAAAAAGACATTGCCGAATCTGTGGAGAATTTCAGGACAGAACAGCCAAAGTCAAGTCAACAAGTTTTGTTTGCAGCTTTCTGTCGAGAGGGACGCGCGCGCGCACACATAGACACACGCGCGGAAATCACTCATTCAGACCATGTGCCTGGCAAGTGCACACTTTTGTCACAACTTCTGCGACGCAGAACTCGGTTTCTGGCACCAACTGCTGGGAAAAAGTCCAGAAGTCTTCCAAGTTCAAAGACTTGCGGAACAGCACATTCAGATGATCTTCCTCGGTGTTGAATGGGGCTGCTACAAGACACAAGCAAAGGCTTGTGAAAGAAACGCGTGCTCGTAGCATCATGCCGAGGTCATGACTCAAGACTGCAATGCAAGCTTGGCAAGTTCTTCCGAGAAGCAGCTTGGTCAGGACGAGGTAGGAGCCGAATGCGAAGGCAGTCAGGAATGTGGTAAGGCCAAAGTAGCCGATGACCATGAAAGGTGTGAACTCACCTGTCAGGAACGTGCTTTGGACAGCAGAGTCCCCTTAAGGCTGCTTGACGGCCTGTCATGTTGTAGTTCAGGTACTCATCGGCCGCAGAGGCCACGCCCGGTGCCGCGGCGATGCTGCCGGCAGCGGCCAAGCCGCGGAGAGATGGGGACTCGGCACGGGGGGCCGACACGAAGGCCTCGCAGCCACATGGCCAGAACCCCGTCTGTCACAACTTCTGAGACGACCTCACACGGCCTGCAGCGACATCAGGCAAGCAGCCAACCTCGGAAGAGGAAAAGCGAACTGCGGACTGGTTCGCAACTTTTCAAGTGGAACTACGAAGGAGGCCGAGAGCTACATCTTCTTAAAACTCCGAGACACAAAAACAAAGAGCAGGGCAAAACAGTTGAATAATGAACAAAGCAGAGCAAAACCACTGTACCCAGAAGGAGCAGAGCTGTGTGCAGAACCTTCAGCCTTTAGTTGCTCTAGCTAGGTGGCTCAGCGTGGGCTCCGATCTACAGTTGTCCCACGCATCCCGGAGCTTCAACACAGCCAGGTCACAAGAAGGACCCCAGAAGCCCGGAGCGGGCACGAGTGGCAGCCATGGCTGTTCGGACGTAGTCTCTACTCTGCGCCAGTCCACTTGCGCCAGAAACCTGCAACAAAGGCTCATCGACAATACAGCTCGATCAGCGTCTCCAGGCGCCATTTTGCCGCTCCTTTCCGAAACACGAACGCATGAGACAGGCACGATATTTAAAAAAAAGCTTTCAAGCCACATTCAATTCGTCAGCCAACTGCACCGATGGTCCCCCGGACTGCCAAGCACATGGTCGAAATGCCACGAGGCTGTCAAATCAAGAGATGGATCCGCTGACAGGCTCAACGAGACTCGTCCGAATCAGAAGCAGGTCGCACCGAGAAATGCTTGAACCTGGGATTCTTGCAGGGACACTGCAGCATCTTTTTCGATTGCTTGTGTGCGCCAACACAGGCTCATGTTCGGGTCTGCGCATTGAGAAGTCATCGGGATCTCTTCTACCTGGCCTTCTCGAAATTCGCAAGAAAAGAGCAAACGGCAAATGGCCGTTCAAGTTGGCAAGTCACACACACTTTGCTTTCGTCCTGAATCGAAGGACGAGCGACAGATTGTGGCAGTGCTCATATTCAAATACTGTCCGAGCCTTCTCACTAGGCTGCACCTCAGCAGCTAGCTCTGGCTTTAAAACCTCCGGTTGGGATGATTTCCCTCAAGGCCTACAAACAGTCATCGGGCAGAGTGTGCTTCCAGACGAACAAAACTTGAAACTATTCAGAGCTCGCCACACTTTCTGACTTTTCGAACACTCTGCAGTCAAGACTTCTGATCAATAACACGGAAAACCTGAGACTAGAGAGCCCGCATCTCCACTCTTTAAAACTCTCGGGCATGCATGGAGATGGGATTGACGTGAAGCCAGGTTAGGTGCATGCAAACCGCAAGTGTGATTGTCAAAAAACGCCAGACCCGTCTGCTTCGCGTTCGACAACGACTCCTACAGACACCAATCTGCTGCTCTACTGGCCCGGAGACGTATGCGAACAAAGTGTTTAAAGGCCCAGTCTCTGTGATTCGCCGCAAGTACTGCCACTCGCAAGACACGATGCTGCCGGATAGGAACAGACAACGGATTGTCATTTTCCAAAACAACTGCAAGGTTCGGCTACTCTGATTCGAACTACGCACACATCACATTACAAAGAAGTGCTGCGACTTACGGCTCACGGTGGAGATTCAGTATGCGGGGTGCATCGATCCGCTGATATTGCTGCTGGTCTCCAGGTGCATGAAGCTCCCGCAGTGGTCCCACAGCATATGGAGTGCAAATGTACACAATGCTGACTCAAGAGACGGGATCCGGGACCGGAAGCATCTCCAGCCGAACGCCAGGATCGTCATCTAGATAGACGTTCCAGCTCTGTTGCTCGCTGTTGGCGAGGGAGATCTGCATAAGCACCACTGCCTCACGAAGGTTCACATAGTGGACATCACCACTCAGCAGCTCCAAGACCTCGCGATGGGACCCATACCTCGGTATCTCGGGAATCTGAGTAATGCAAGCATCAAGCCGAAAGAACGCTTTCCGCACAATATCCACGCAGACAAAACCTCTCAAAATCACGCATAATATGTCGTGGGCAGAGCCAGATATGAAGCGCGCAAACACACACACAGACAGAGACAGAGACAGAGTTTCACAATCAGTGCCAAGCAACTTGTCTGCTGACCTGGCCAGCTCGACAGCTGTGCGTCCTCGAGAAGTCTTCTGAGAAGGATCGGCTTTGGCCCTGAGCAGGGCCCGCACCATTTCCGCATCACCGACTTCTGCCGCAACGTGGATCGCAAAGACGCGCGTTTGCCGGAACAGCGAACACAGGAAACCACTGCGTTTTCTTGGTGTGCCGATATCAGTGAAGCCTTCTCTGCGCAGGAAGTCGTTCAAGCGCTGGACACGCCACTCAGTCTGCTGCTTGCGGCAGCCAGCCTTGAGATCTGAATTGTCTGCATCGTCTTTGCTGCCTGCCAAATTTCAGAAACAGGTCCCTCTAGTGAAGCAAGCCCTGACAGTCCAAGATTACCTTCAACGACATTCGCACCGGCATCCACTCCTAGAGTTGCTCAACCCCTGATTTGCCCAACTCCCACCGATCCGCCCTCCATCATTTACAAATTTTCTGGCCGGTGCCTCCACTCAAGCTATCAAGTGCGAGTCCATCCAAGACAGCATGTAGAGAGTGCATGTGGCCGAATGCATCTGGGCTCACAGAAGGCATTCTAAGTTCGATCCTACGCACATCCTAAGGAAAAATCGGCCCGGACGCTCCCTCCAGGAGGCTTCTGAGCCCGCATGCTGCGGTGGTTCGCACTGTCGATTTCTGCACAAGCGCTGGGACTTCGCCTCCCACCTTTACATGCAATCATCACTTTAAGCGCCAAGAAGCGCACCGCTGACCGCAAAGGGTCCAATATCGGGAATCCTACCAAACCTCTGCGTTCCAAGGTCTTCATCACCTCCGCAGTCATGCCCCGGTGCGCCGGGTGCCGTACAGAGCGGAAACTTCGCTCGCTCCTTGGGTTGCTCCATGCAACTCCACGACAGCATTGACTGGGTGATCTTCTTCCGTCAGTCCCTTAGCAGACAGATTCCTGGCTGCCAATCCAATGCACTGCTCCCCGACTCTGCCAAGACGAGATGGACGCGACGCATGTGCGTCCATCTCGGCAGAGACGAGCACTAACAGAACTCATTACCGGACCTTCTTTACAATCTCATTCTGTCGTAATGGTCCACATTCACGCTCCGTGGCCTCCAGGCAAGAGCCGATGATACAGACGAAAGTGAATGTGCAATGTACTGGGGATTTGCATCTGATTGACTTGACATCCAGGCCTTCGCAATCTCGTTATGCCGGCTTCCGGGCTGCAGACTTGGTGGAGAGAGCGACGGACTTACATATTGACGTATGTGCATGGCGGCAAAAGTCCGAATAGTCCCAGCCCGTGATCTGGGTGCACGCATGTTGCTTGATATTCTGCCGATCGAACGAGACAAACAGCCAGTCAGAACATACCTCAACGAGGAATTAGCTGCTCGGAAAGTCACTCATCATAGCCGGCAATCGTCTTCATCATCTGGTACAGGCGTCCCTGCTGTCGTGCAGAGCCATGCGAAAGTTGAGTGCATGATACGTGCAGCAGCAGGTATCGGCACCCCTGCAGGATGCAAACCTCACCGCAACATCGGCTGGCCTCTGTGCGTGCATCCTTCCTCCATTCTGCATCCATCAATAGCAGGCCGAACTCCAGGGAACCCATCGGCATGCTGAAATGCAAACTCACGAACGCACCATGTCATCTCTTAAGTCGCTTTGTTCAGTTCTACCTTTGTTGCCGACTGTGAGAAAGCCCAGCAAAACTGTATCACGTTCTCCGGCACGACAGGTTTCCGCCTGGACTTGCTTCCAACTGCAACTGCTGTTGGGCGCTGACTGCAGCACGTGCCAGAAGTAGACAATACTAGTGCTGCTACGTACTATTACTCTCTCTCCCTCTCTCGAAGCCCCAACCATTCCCTTCGTCCTTGTGTAGCCTCCTTGGCCACGGCCGACCATCTACGAGGACAGCCGATGCTTTAAGCAATCAGCATTTCATTATCACGTAAATGGTAGTGGATCGCACACGGGCCGAGAGCCCCCTCAAGCAATGCGTCGGTACATGCTGCTACTACTACTACTACTACTACTACTCCTGCTGCTGCTGCTGCTGCTGCTGCTGCTGCTGCTGCTGCTGCTCCTACTCCTACTCCAACTCCTGCGGTCTTTTTCGCCAGATGCGCTCTTGGCGGACGCTTCTCATGTGGAGGATATAAAGCCCTCGGCTTCACCGAGGCTGCCTCCATAAACGGGGCGTCGGGGTACTCGGGCTCCAGCTCCTAGCTAGCATGTGGCTTGCAGAGATTGAGTTTGCTGAGCAGCATATGGCAACGTTCCCTGACACCTCTGGCCGAAAAACGAAACCGTTCTGCATTCAATGTCTCATGTTCAACAGCCTGTCATTTTGGAAGTCCAGGCTGGAACGAATTCTCATGCAGAATAAAGACATCTCATATCTTCTGCTGGTTCTGGCAAGATAGACAGCACAACGATGAGCTGTGGCTACTGTTTGCCCATGTTGGCTCCTACGTCAAATCTGGCACCGCTTCAATAACTCAGTCAGGCAGCACCTGACAGGCACGAGCCACAAACGAAGTCGTGATGCGGTGGACACGTTATACCACGTGCTGATGCTGCTTCTGCATCACGTGCTGGGCTACTGGCTCGTCGGAGCTGACCTAGACACCGGAGGCGGCACCTCGGAGAATCAGTGGCCGAGCACAGGTGCCGGAAGGAACGCATTTTCAGAGAGAGAGAGAGAGGCGCTCACCAGGCACTGCACTGACCCTATCAGTGGAGCTGTGGCGAGTCCCGTGCTGCCGCAGCGAAGGCTTGGGAACGCGCTGAACGCAGGTGAGGCCCCGGAGTTCCAACTCTGCCTCAGCCAACGTTGGGATCTCTTGCGAGCAGGCGAGGCCTCGGGATCGCATCTAACGCGAAATGTCTGTGCCTTCATCAGTTTTTGAATACTCAGCTAACGTCCTCAGGCTGCAGTAAGCGGTGAAAAAATATTTACAGGTCTTTTCGTTCGAAGACTCCCAAGTCTGCCACTTAAGGATCCCTTCGGCCTTCAGTGTGGAGTCTCTGTCTTGTTTACAGGCTTGACTGCTCTAAGAACCAGATAATGAAGTGTTCCACAGTGTTGTAGATTCCAAGTTTCTATGAGGGACTATGAATCTGAGGCCCTGGTCGGGTTTTATCAGGGAGTTGGAGCCGCTGGCCACATCAAGCATGAGAGTTTCTTAAATTAGGGGCTCGCCAGGCTTGTGAACTACTGTGCAGGGTTACAAAGGCAAGGGCACGAGTCACCAACTTTGCATGCGGTTCGAAATGCAGACGGTTAATGGGTGTTTCGATCAACACGACTACCATATACTGCCCCTAGCAGATGCTGGTAAAACACAACATGATAGGAATGGAACGAGATGGAGGAGCCGTAGTAGTCTCAAGGGTTTCAGCCAGTGCCGTTCGACCTGTAACTTGTAGCAGCAAAGTGAAAGCACCTTTCGATCATTGACGGCGTTTCGAAGCAGGGCTAAGCGGCTTCGTAATGAGTGCGTGTGTCATCATCTTCTTGTCATGCGCTTGATCTTTATCAACTGCAGACTTGGGTGTTGGTACAGGCATGGGAAGAGCAAAGCAAAGCAACACAATCAGACTAAACGAATGTCATCTAAACATCCGACAAAACAAACAAACTCTTTGCTGACGCTTCAGCACTGCCACTTCCACTTCAGTCTGAGTGGCGTTGTGCTAGTCGCCGCAGTGCTTCCTGTGCCCAAGACGGGTGGGCCACTGCACGAGCTCATACAGAACTGAAACACCCAAAATTCCTATAGGCTACAAGAATCTCTGGCAGAGGCACTGCCTGGACTCGGAGCTCCAGCCACCGCTGGGGGCCTTGGTTCATCGGGGTATCGGTAGAACTTCGGCACGACGGCATAACGACTCTTACTTCTCCCAATTGTCTCGAAGGGGTTGGATGGGGTTCGTGGTCGTAGAGGCACACTAGCAGCAGCGGCAGCGGCCGGCGGCAGCAGCAAACGCCCACTGCCGCCGTAACCGCCGCCCCGCTGTCGTGGTCGTCGTCATCGTTTTCTTCATGCTCGTCGTCATGGCCAGGGTAGCGATTAGTGGCACCGGTAACGGCACAAATGGGCAAATGTGGATCATATGTTGCAAATAGCATGGGTGTCCTGGTCTGTTTGCGCTACGTCTCTGGGACTATCATATAGTGGCTGAACGGCTACCATGCCGGCACCCCAGTGGAGCCATAACAAATCACAAGCCGCATGGTCGGACAACAGGATGCTGCCTGCAAGTGGTCTTGCTGCTCATTTTGTTGCTCCCAATTTTGGGGCACTGCGCTGAGCCCGGAGGCTCCGCTACCAAACTTGCAAAGCACTCCTTGCTTAGAGCCCAAGCACACTCACGTGTCAAGTGTTCAGTCGCACATGTACATGGCTGAAGCTTCTGGAAGCATGAGGAAAGGGAGTTCACAAATGTTGACTGTTTGAGAGCACAAGTCATGCACAAGAGCAGACCTTCAGCACGTGATCTTCTTAATGGATCTTGCAACTTTCAGCATCCCTCAGAGGAGCGTGTGCGCTGAAGGGCGATGACCGGCTGCTTCTCATAGGATGTAATCCCTGTGCACGCTTCTGCGCACCAATCAACATTAAGCAAGTCTGCGCATTGCCAAAGTGCGGAGACCAGTTTGCGTGCATCAGTCTCCCGAACCATCCGGAGTCAGGATCTTTGTGAGGGTCGTATGCAACGAGTAGTGAGCGAAAGTGTGAGTGGGAAGCGCAGTGAAGTGAAGTGAAACGACTTATTTTTGTTGCATTTGCTCTTCCCCCTGCAGTGGTAAAAATGCTGCAAACTGCACACAACAAGCACAATCGAGTCCAGGCGGCATCGAGCCGGCTCGCTGCTCGTTGCGCCAATATTCTGCGGCCATGCGTGCCACCTTGGGCTTCAAGTCTCCTAACAGCAACGGCCCCTGCTGCGGACACCCCATGTGCTATGATCCGTTTTCACAGTCAAGGCAGTAGTCGGTCTTCTAAGCCTCCGCACTGCAGAGGTCGTCGACAGACACTCGGGCGGTGAAGAAGGCAGGGCACGCGTACCTGTGGACCTTGCGAGGGCTCTAACACTGCCTATGGGCGCACATACATGCTCTCAGACATGCACACACATTTCTTCGGGGCTGCATCCATACGTGTATCCACCTATGCATACACGCAGACGCAAAATGAAATAAGTTGACTGTCAGAGACACAAAGGAACATGTGTACGTATGCGTATAGAAGGTGCTATGCACATGTCTGTAAAAACACCTATAGGTTTACACTCGGAAATCATGCTCCCTTCATAGAACTTAAAATACACATGCATATACGTACATATAGATATATATATATGTATATACATACACATATGCATATGTACAACACATACATCACAAACATTATGCGTGTCGCATACCAACCCACATTACTACTCTACAGACAGAACCTACACTGCCCACCTGGCACACTACAAACTCGCATCCTTACATACAGAAGGCAATGCACAGTCAATGCACGTGCACAACATGCCATGCTAACACATCTGTCGACACATGCTACAGGAAGCAGATAAAGGATACGAGACGAACGTAAACTCCACACCTGTATGGCGCTTACTGGGCGCTCGAATGCTGCACTTATCCTGTGTATCAACACATCCGTGATGATTACATGCAGTACAAAAACTTTTTGCATGTACGTCTAAGTGCATTTATATATATATATATATATATACGTATATATATATATATATGCCTACATGTATGCATGTATATATATATATATATGTATACATGTATACATACATAATAAAAGCATGCATGTATACGATTGTACATATATATATATATACGTATCTACATGTATAAATATATGCATATATACAAACATACATAATTATATAGACGCAGATACATATATATATATATTGATATACTGGCTTACTGAATTACATATACATATACACAAGAATTCACATATACATATATATGTGTACATAAACATATATACATATACATAGGCACATACACATATATCTGTACATATACATGTGTGGAATATGTCGTATCACTTGATCTACACATGTCACGCTACAGAAATCTACTACAGCTGGTCCATACAGCACTCAGGCTGCAAGCATGAAGTATATTTCGCATTACATCCACCAGAACATGTACATGGCTTTCCATGCTTCACCTAAGTGTCATATCTTGCTGACAACACAGACAGGAACATTCTGTGCATTATACATGTGTGGAATATGTCGTATCACTTGATCTACACGTGTCACGCTACAGAAATCAGGCTGCAAGCATGAAGCATATTTCGCATTACATCCACCAGAACATGTACATGGCTTTCCATGCTTCAGCTAAGTGTCATATCTTGCTGACAACACAGACAGGAACATTCTCGAAAACAACCACTTAACATAAAGCACCTACATCACATACGTCCCGCCAGTTTGTGGCAACTGATGCATCAACTGCAATGCCTTGTGAAAACTGTAGAAGTAAGAAGCATGCATGCCGTTTACGATAAGTGCAATTGAAACTCAACACGTACAAGAAAAGCCGTGGAAGACGAACACAACGACGCACAAACAAGCAATGACTTCTGACCAATATCCAGAGAGACAACATGTTTGCATGCATGCAGGTGCATGTCAAAGATTGGATGTTCACCTCTGACCTGCAATCGTATTGCTTTCTTACGACGCGTTATGTTGTTGCCACATGCAGGCAAGCAGAAAGGCAGCCAGCAAGCAGCCAGCCAGCCAGCCAGAAAGCCATACAGGAAAAAACTGATGCACGGACAACCGGCATTGAACAAAAATTCAAGCACGCAGACACCCTGTCTCGGCCTCAGTGGGGGGAGGAATCGTGGGCCAGCAGCACCACGCACAGAGAACACGGCGGCAGGCCTTTCACTAGGCTTTTCTCGTTGCCTTCCTGAACTGTGCCGATGGTTTCTGCTTTGGCAAGGTCATGAAGCTCCAACTCGCCTTTCCCACTTTGTGCGCCAATTCTGCGGCACAGCGCGCGCCTTGACGAGATGGAGTGACATTTCCGAAGACTGTGTGCTGTCCGCAAGCTCTGCACGCATGTCTAACACCATTTATGCAAACCTGTTCACATGGTTCGCACGGAGGCAGGGACAGGGGATTGCAAGTTGTCCGATCAGAATCTCAACCACCTTGGACCGCAGCCCATGTCTTCCCCAATTCGGGCCTGCGGTTCGGACCGCACACCCTGCGGCAAGGCCGTTGCACCTTCTCAGATAGCATGATGACCGGCTGAGAGCCAATTTGCCGCAGACTTTCCACAAACAGGGTGGGTACTGGCTACTGCCGCCCAAGTATCAGGTGAATCAACCGAAAGCACTAGCGAGCCTGGCATCACAGCAGCAGCAGTGGCAGTAGTAGGCTTCCTGAGGAGGAAACTTCTGGCAGCGAGCGACATTCTTCTGGGCTGCTTCTACACGGCCACCGACAAACTGCATTTGATTGGTGAGCACAAGCCCCGAGCTCAGGCTTTGGGATTCTCGGTTCTTCGATGCCGGCCGGACTGCTCTTGAAACATGCTGAAGCTCGACAATCAAACAACTTTATTTCCCATCATGCTTCCGACCGCTAAACACCCTGTACCCACAGTGAAGCTTATCGACAAAATCCTTGCACGCCACCTGCGTGCTGCTTGCCTGTAAGTGACTTGCGCTGCACCTGGAGAAATGCCGTCATTGCTTGCAAAGCAGCAGGGACTCTCACAACAGCTTTTGAATTTTCTACAAACCAATCGGTCTGCTTTTGCGTCAGTTTCCACATCTCAGCAGGACGCCTCGTACATGAAGGCTGGCCGAACTAGACGAAGGACACTGCTTGACCTGGCACGATGGCATAGCTGTTGGGAAAGGACAAATCAAAACCACATCTGAAGTTTTGGCACCTGTTTCTTGACTTCCACACCGCCTAGTCAATGCTCATTCGCAGGCCTCTAGCTGCAGTCTTCAACCTGCAACCTGTGAAAAGACCATTCCACAGCATGATACTTATCTATTGGAAGAACATGCAACTAGGAGGCTGAGGTCCGATCTTTATCATCTTGAGGTTCCGCGTCTGCCACAGTGGGAACTGGCTGTTCGTACCTTGCCGGGCTTGTTTTGAACATGCTGGGCATGATTTGCGTGACAAGGGATAAACAGCAAACAAAAAGCAACACGTGCTGCCAATCATTGAACATCTTGCCAGCAAAAACTGGCAGCAAAAGGAGGCAACGCACTTGAACACACATACACACGCACAAACACACACACACACACACACACACCTCGACCAACTAACATGCACACATACCATTCAGCCCGAGGCTTTGCAGCGGAGCTTCCAGATCCCATTGCCGTGGGCGGGAGAAAGAAACTGAAAAATTAGGACGTAATTCGACGCCGAAACAACAACTGCTGCTGCTTCAAAGGTATATTCCGCACTTTTGCGGCCAGCAACAGCCGCCCCAACTGCGATGCTACTAGGTGCAGATCCGAGTTCTCGTCCGCTTGCCACTCATGAATGTGACTCTGAGACTGTTCGAGACGCAATGCAATGTCGCTGTGCCGGAGGTGCAACATCATGCAGATAGTTTGGAGTTCAACGAAACCGCATGGTTGCATACTTCCAAAAATCATAACACGTGGTTAGACATTTCGAACACAACTGTAGCAATCAGAACCGTTCGTTCTTTGTCTTTGTCTGTCGTGTGAAATCACAACTCATGGTCAATAACAGGGTGCAGAATTTCTGTAGATCTTTTTTGCATCTGTGGGATCTATTTTTGCTGCGGGAGAGGGGGGATCCAGCGCCCGCGGAGCGCCGGCCACACCTCTGGGACGCCAGTACTCGGGTTGCGACCGGGTATATACAACCAAAACGGGGGAAATACAACCACAGGGTGGAACACACAACTGAACCACAATTGTGGGCTAGCCCAAATGGGAGAAATTACAACTGGATATTGCGGTGCCTTTATGAGTTTGGACATTTTCTGCCGAAAAGCCATGGTACAGCCTCAAGATTCCAGCACCAAAGCTAGATAAAAATAAAATTGCCATTCGTCCAATAAATTCTTTGCACCCTAGCAGGTATGAGGACTTAACATGATTATTTCGGTATGCTTTCGGCCATGTAGGTTCGAAAGACCAAGCAATACTTAACTTGAGTCTTTTTGCACGTATGGTCTTTTGTTCATATGGGCACGAAAGGAAAGTAGGCAATACTTAAACTGCTTATTTCGCTTTGTATGCTTTCGGTCATGTAGGCACGAAGCATGTAGGCAATACTTAACATGCTTATTTCGGTTTGCATGCTTTCGGTCATGTAGGGCATGTAGGCAGTACTTAACATATTTATTTCGGTTCGTATTCTTTCGGCCATGTAAGTACGAGCGCCATGTAGGCAATACTTAACATGTTTATAGCGAACCATGACTTTTTCGGTTTGTATTATTTCGGTCATGTAGGCACTAAGCATGTAGGCAATACTTAACATGCTTATTTCGGTTTTCATGCTTTCGGTCATGTAGGCACTAAGCCACTAAGCATGCAGGCAATACTTAGCATGTTTATTTCGGTGTGTATGCTTTCGGTCATGTAGGTACGAACGGCATGTAGGCAATCAGAGGTTACAGCGAAGTTATCAAAGAGTCTTTTTACATGAAACTTTCAACAATCCCACTCCCCGACTACTCAACAATACCCATGGACCCTTGAACCAAAAGCCCTGGTTGTGTTATCACCCATCTGGTGGGGTTTTCACCCATCGCAACCAATTGCAAAAGGTCCGAACTGTGTTTTTACCCATTTGGTTGTATTTACAACCATCTAGTTGAAATTCGCGTTATTCTCGGGTTCCGGGTTAAGGGTTCAAGCTTCAGGGTTTAGGGTTCAGGGTTCAGGGTTTAGGGTTCAGGGTTTAGGGGTTAGGGGTTTGGGTTTAGGGTTTTGGGTTTTCGCAATGCCGACAGACCAAAAATACGGCCCGGAGGCTTGTCAGGGTGTCTGCGTGGGGTCATGGCGGTACTAGCCGAATTAGCGGCAGTTGTAGTGGTAGTGGTAGTGGTAATGGTAGTGGTAGTGGCAATGGTAATGGTAATTGTAGTAGTAGCAGTAGTAGTAGTAGTAGTAGTAGTAGTAGTAGTCGTAGTCGTAGTAGTAGCAGTCGTCGTAGTAGTAGTAGTAGTAGTAGTAGTAGTAGTAGTAATAGTCGTAGTAGTCGTGGTGGTGGTGGTGGTGGTGGTAGGTAGTAGTAATAGTAGTAATAGTAGTAGTAGTAGTAGTAGTAGCAGTAATAGTAACAGTAGCAGTATAAGTAGTGTAAGTAGTTAGTAGTTAGCAATTAGTAGTAAGTGGTAAGTGGTAAATACTAGGTAGAAAGTACTAAGTAGTAAGTAGTAAGTAGTAAATGGTAAGTAGGAAGTAGTAAAATGAGAAGTAGCACGTAGTAAGTAGGAAGTAGTAAGCAGTAAGCAGTAAGGAGTGTAGTAGCAGCAGTAGTAATAGTATGTAGTTAGTAGTAAATAGAAAGTAGTAAGCAGTAAGTGGTAAGTGGTAAATACTAAGTAGAAAGTACTAAGTAGTAAGTAGTAAGTAGTGAGTAGTAAATGGTAAGTAGTAAGTAGTAAAATGGGAAGTAGCACGTAGTAAGTAGTAAGTCGTAAGTAATAAGCAGTGTAGTAGCAGCAGTAGTAATAGCATGTAGTTAGTAGTAAATAGAAAGTAGTAAGTAGTCAGTAGTAAGTGGTAAGTGGTAAGTAGTAAGTAGAAAGTACTAAGTCGTAAGCAGTAAGTAGTAAATGGTAAGTAGCAAGTAGTAAGTAGTAAGCAGTAAGCAGTAAGGAGTGTAGTAGCAGCAGTAGTAATAGTATGTAGTTAGTAGTAAATAGAAAGTAGTAAGTAGTAAGTGGTAAGTTGTAAGTAATAAGTAGAAAGTACTAAGTAGTAAGCAGTAAGTAATAAATGGAAAGTAGCAAGTAGTAAGTAGTAAGCAGTAAGCAGTAAGGAGTGTAGTAGCAGCAGTAATAAGTAGTAAGTAGTAATTAATAAGTAGTAAGTAGTTAGTCGTAAGTAGCCAGTAGTAAGTGGTAAGTGGTAAGTGGTAAGTAGTAAGTAGTAAGTAGTAAGTACTAAACAGTAAGAAGTAAGTGGTAAATAGTAAATTGTAAGAAGTAAGTGGTAAGTAGTAAGTCGTAAATAGTAAATGGTAAGTAGCAAGTCGTAAGTAGCAAGTAGTAAGCAGTAAGGAGTAAATAGTATGTAGTAGGTAGTAAGGAGTAAGTAAAGCAGTAAGGAGCAGGGAAGAAGTGGTAGGCAATAAGAAGTAAAAGGTATGTGCTTCATACGGAGAAGTCGCGGAGTCGTGGAGGCAACATGTTTACACACACATGTCGCAGTCACCCGCTGCACTGAAAGAAGTATTGAGTGTTTGCCACAGTTTAACGTCCAGACACAAATTTGCAAACAACAAGAAAGTGTTTAGCGCAGTGAAAGCGAGGGAGAAACCCCGTCTGCACCTTTTAGTTCGGTAATTGCGGTCTGGCAAAGGGTGTTTGAGTGTGATTCAGCCAACAATAAACATCTACCTTCGGAACCATGCGTTACAAACAAAATCGTTTGAAATTGCATTCTTCGGAAAAACCTTGCAAATCCGGCCTGAAAGACATTCATTTTTGCAAGATGATGCTTTCTGTTGTTAAATTTCTTTTCTCATTCCAATCTCCGAATTCCGAACAAGAATCAATTGCATCCGCATCATCCGCATCTGACTCGTGTGTCATCTGGCAGACAGAATGACAGAAATGTGTTGGAGGGGGGATAAACCATTGGACCTGAAAAAACACCTGTGTTGCGCCAACCTAAATTGAAAGTCGAGCGTTTAGAGACAACCCGGATTTCTTCCAAGCAAGGTTTGGTTGGAGAAAATCCAGAAGTCACTCCAGAAGGTCTTTGTTCCATTCCAAAAAGACGTTCCAAGAAAGGTTTTTCTGTCTGGAGTGAAAGTTTTCCGACACATGGACTGACAGCATCATCTGCACTCGGTGCGAATAATTTGATTTTTCTTACTTATGAATAGAATCGAAAAATCATATCAATAATAAAAATCCAAATCTAAATATTTTTCGAATATTGATTTTTATGTATTATCATCATTAATGAAAACATTTTCTTCAAATTTTAATTTCAATATTTTGATAATATTATTTATTTAAAAAGAAATTTATTTAAAAAAAATGAAAAAATACATATAAAAATATTCTTCAGTATCTAAATTTCAGATCAATTATCTAATGTTTGAAATAATTATATACATATTTATTTCTTCACAAGATTATTACATTGTTCATGAAAAAAATAT